GACATCATTTCACTGGCCCTCTAGAGGCAAAATAACGCCAGGCAAAGCAGGCGTTTGTCGTCTGCTTCACTGCCCGTTTTATACCCGATATTTAGGGCATTTTGCAGCACATATAAGTTGTTTTTATCAACAGAATTCATTCATAGATCTCAAATTTCATGTACAGAGTGTCAAAAACCACACCTCTGCTCCCCTTTAAACTGTGGACTGTATGGAGGCTGAAAAATTAGTTCAACTCCCTGTCTACGTAGTAAATCTCTTAATGCTGGCTCTACAAAATGTCCGTGGTGAAACCCACAATTGTCGAGAACAACGCAATCTCCATCTGATAAAATGGGGTTTCCAAATACATCGACGATTCTTGTTGCGTCATCAAAAAAATCCAACATTTCTAAACCGTTGGAAGGCCCAGTAATAATATCAGCATGGCCAATACCCGAAGCACTCGTTAGCAAGTTGATAGTATAGTTGGCATTACTGGCATGTCTTTGAACTTGGACTGCAGGTTGCCCTCTTTCAGTGTGCCCATAGATACGGTTCCCAGTTGTACGGATAACTGACGATTCGTCAAACCAGTGCAGTTGTCTAACATGGTAATTTGTAATAGCTTCCATAAAGTCAAGCGTCCACTCCTGGTTTCTTTCTGTTGTGGACTCTGCAGCAACACTGGTAATTTTTTTTCGTGTCGTACCTAAATGCTGCATTATACCACGATGTATAGTTGTAATGCTGGGAACATTCTCCTCTGCGCAGACTCGATCGGCCACCAGTTTGTTTTGAATCTCTTTCAAATAAATACTAGGCTGATATTTTTTGTAGTACCGGTACTCGATGTGCTGTAATACATTATGAGAGAGTTTCGAACATCCTGTTAAACCACCAGTTTCTCGATCAAAATTTGCGGTGGATGTAAATTTCTGACATATGGAATAGGCTGTGGATTTAGAAACACCAACAATTCTTGAGATATCCCCATAAGAACGTCCACTCAAAAACATGTCCACTATGTTTTCACGTACTGCATGAGGCATTGCCATACCGGGTCGACTTCGAAACATGGTTGTTATTCCTCAGCAAATTTGAATTTGAGAGTAGATCTATCCCGGGTAAAATAGCGGTCTTTGCGTTGATTGGTTATTGTTATATTTTTAACAGGACATCATTCACGTCTGGTTTCCAATATAAACAACTCGGCATTCAGTTTTAGAGTATCCCGGGTAATATCGCGATTTTTGCGTTGATTGGTTATATTTGTTGACAGCATGTCATTCACTCACGTCTGGTTCCCAATATAAACAACTCAGCATTCAGTTTTAGAGTATCCCGGGTAATATCGCGATCTTTGCGTTGATTGGTTATTGTTATATTTGTTGACAGCATATCATTCACTCACGTCTGGTTCCCAATATAAACAGCTCTTTGATTTTACCGCAACTTTGATAATATCTTGAGCAATTTGTAAACTTTTACTCGCAATGTTACAAAACAACTTTAGTAGTGTATTAACATTTTATACAAAGTCAACGTTCGAGGTTTGGTGGAAACGACTGTAAAAGTCAGACGTGAAACTGCATTTATTTTATTATGGTTTGTACACTATATTTTGTTTTATGATAGGCAAGAAAACAACTCATACGACAGTTATTATCAAAACACCAGAATCCATTAAGTGAAAGAGAGTTGGAACATTTGTCATTGCTTACAGATGGCTATTCAGGTAGTGACCTGACTGCACTTGCCAAAGATGCTGCATTAGGACCGATAAGAGGTATGTCTGATAGTATTGTAAGGTATTTATGCCGTACTACACCCATTTATGTAAATCTATTCTTGTTTCTATGCGTCTTGTAAATCATGCACTTATTCACATGTCTGTCCTGTCTTTGCATCTGTGTAAGCAAAATCTCAACAACTTCTGATAGAATTTTTATCAAATTTGATAAATAGGTACCTTGTAATGTGCAGACATGATTAGTTTTGGCACCATGTCTGTGAATATTGTTTCATTTTAGCAGTCAGTAGATTTTGATAAAACTTTAGCACATACTTTATATTCGCTTGGAATTTATTTTCGCTATTTTCGCGGGAGGGATGATTCCGTGAAAATAAAATCCAGCGAATATACTTTTTCCCCCCTTATATTTCACATTCAACTCATCAAAAATCAGTGAAAATAAATTCCATACAGAACGCCCAAAAAGCCTTTTCAGCGAAAATTTACCGGTATTCTGGCGAAAATAAAGTATTCCACAGTACCTAAAATAGTGATGTGAAAACTAACCTTAATTTAGGGATAATAATTGTCAACCATCTCCTACAGTTATAAATAAGATGACTTATCATAACATTGTTTTCTAGAATTGTAAATTTATATTATTGTTTCTTTGTCATTATTCTTTCCAGAACTTGGCCCATCTGAAGTGAGATCAATGGATGTCCGCAAGGTGAGTAAACCTCACATGTCATCATGTATGGTGTAAATACTAGAGTGGTTAGAGTGCTCTAGGAGATGTAGGTTCTTTTGAATTCAAGTTTATTGCAAAGAGATAATTTGATTGAGTTTAGTTGCTTTTACGGATAAATTCACAGCGAACAATTTGATACACAAACAACACATAAGGTGCTAAATTTCACATTTAGATGGATCGTTCAGAAATTGCTTCATAACGTTTCAAATGAAAATACCTCACTTGCTATAGTGTTAGAAAAGTTGCTATTGTTAAATTACAGTATGCTATTTTATCTGTCATACCTTAATATATTTGAATTATACATCTTATGTTAACAGGTGAGAAATATCCGACTAGTAGATTTTGAAGAATCTTTGAAGAGAATCCGCAGAAGTGTAGCTGTGAATACACTACATGGTTATGAAGAATGGAATCGGCAATATGGTGACATGGGAGTTGTGTAATTCCTGCCATGTGTCCGTGAACTAATCGCCAAAATGTTGCAGGAGCAGCTGAATTTGCTGTCCTTCCAATAGTGTAATGGATGATATCATAAAAACAGAGTAGCTTGTATTACGCAAGTTTCTCAGTAAAAATAGTGCAATATAAATTTATTTGATATGGTGACAAGTTTTTTATGCAACCTCACACTGCCTAGATTTGAAAATATTTTCTACTTATAAACCAAAAGCGTGAACTTGACCTTGACCTTTATAAATTAAAATAACTTTATAGTTGTAAAAGCAATTTTTTTTAGCCCAAGAAGTGTAAATAAAATTAATACAATTTTTGATTCATTGCAAAGTACAATGTTTGATTGAAATCAATATTCTTCCTTAAGCATGCAGCCCCATGAGACATTATAAATGACCATATCCGTGTAAATTCCCTTCTCCTCCTTCACATTTTGCTACCTCACAATCAGGAACAGTAAATTATGCTGTGGTGAACATTAAGGAAAATCCAGTCTTTGATGATATAAAGACAGTGTTTAATGCAAAATCTAGTTTATTTCTGTCAGTGAAATGGAAACCATGTGATACTAGATTTTTATTTATATAGGTTTGTGTTATTAGCAGAGATATTTTTGAAACATTGGTTAAATACAAAGCATCCAGAAGAGATATTTAACAAATAATTAAGATTCAGTTTGAAACATGGTAGCATGTTTGTACATATTTGAGATGTTTAGATTCATACCAATTTGTGCTAAACTCTGAAAGACACAATCTAATTGCCAGAAGCCACAATAGGCTGTCAGTAACTGTTAATTAACACTGATGTAAACAATATTGTGTGTTTTTGAAACTTCTGACACCTTTTACCAGAATTTTGATTATTTTATTTTTCATGAATTGAATATTGTATTTTATGTAACATGCATATTCTGTAAGTGCGGACATCAATCCAAGTTGAGCATAGGTCCATTTCTACATCTCCTAAAGTGAATCAGGTTCAAATATTGGATTTATCTAAATTGACTTGTTTGTGTGCATCCTTGGTCTAAAGCATGATTGCAAAATGATTTCCAGAAAACCATCATTGTTGTGAATGCTACTTTGCTAAATCGTACCAACACACAACTACCATAATTCTTCTGTTAGAAGTGCACATATACACAAAATTACATTAATTTTAAAATTGATTAAGTATTTTCACCACAGACTCATCACTTGACATATGTGCTCCTAATAGAGCAAATATGGTACTTGGTTCATAGTATTGCAACAGAAACACTGACTCATCATGTGAATCAAACCCTGTAAGTTATGGACAATGTCCTTTAAAGCGTGGCAGTCGTGGCGCTGCACATGTGCGTCATTTGTGTTGATAAACATTGATTTTCCCACAATCCAATGCGCTCTTCTAATGGAAATCACAAGTATGAGGTTTTACCTGGGTGACTTGCACTAATTATCGCTGGCGACTCCTTCGATACTTTCCAACCACCTAATAAAGTCCTAATTAAAGCTTTGTAACGTCTCAGTTCGTACTCGTTGATCTGCGCAACAGTCAAAATCGCCATCTTTGTTTATATGAGACCCATATCTCACGCATATGTGGCGCGACGACTACCACCCTTTAATTGTTATCATTACTTTGTCATGCACTGTGTTGTTTTATTCACTGCAGTACTTCTCTGTGTGCCTGAGAGGCTGAAAGACTCTATTAAACCTTGACTTCAGTGTTTATTAAATGTATGTACATTTCCTCTATTAGAAGTACCATCAAAAAGCATAACTGAAAAATGATGCATGTATCCATTATCACCATGTTGTATACTCCTATACAATGTTTTTTAGTATTATAATGTGCATATATTAGTTTCTGTAAACTTTACTGTGGTCATAAATTCGTTATGTACACCTCACTAGCAGTATTAACTTAACTGGCTGAAAATATAAATCTGATATTTAAACTGGCTTCCTGAATCAACATTGCTAGCAACACAGCCGTATTGTCAGCCAATTAGCTAACAATATTGTTGGTTACGTGTACACAACAAATTTGAGTCCAACAGTAATTTTGTCAAACCAATATTCATGAATTTGGAAATTCTGTGAAATTTTTATTTGAATCCTTAAAGCATCAGTCAATACGTTACATGTGGGTGTTGTAAAACACTTGATGCACCACTAGTTGTGGTAAATGTAGGTACCTCATACCGCTGTGTTTATTTACTTGATGCTATGTACTTAGATTTAGGTTCTACTGGTATGTTGTTAACTCAAAACTCAAATGTATGCTATGTAACTGCTGTGACGTTTTAAGGTGACACTTTCATGAAATTTGGTTTAGGTTTACAGACCTTTGATGTGGGACCATCGATTTATACAATATGATCAATTATTGTCTTTAATAATTGAGGAAACGTTTAATATTTGGGATTAACTAAAGTCCATAACTTGTATCTGAAGTAGGAATGAGACCATTTATTGTAAGTCTACAATTGACAGCAGTTGTGTCAAAACACTCAAAACTTTGGTTGTGTTAATATTGAACCCATGTTTTTTTTTTCAAGTTGTCAGCAACATGTTTGTACATCCATTTATACTTGTAATACTCATTCAGGCAGCTAATATTGTTCAGTATTGTGTTTTTTGGCCACGTATGGTGTCTTTGTCAAATAATCTATAGGGATTTATGCAACTATATTATCACATTTTGGCATATATTTGTATCATGCAGATGCCATGACTAATTTATGACTGCTGTTAGCTTTTTGAGCTACAGTGCCTTAAGGTCTACACATAAGTTTGTTGTATTGCTTTTATGTTTACATATCAAGGTGTATTATGTAATTACAGGGAAATATAGAAACGTGTTAACTAATACATGGTTGTAGTTATTTGTTGCAAGTGGGTATGCATCAATGAGTATTTGCAAGTAAAATTATGCTTCATATACACAAGTCAGTTTTTTTAGTCCTCTGACATCAAAGATGGGAAAAAGCCATGTTGATATAGGCATGAAACTAAATAGAGTGGTGCCCATTGTTTATGTTTTCCACTCACTAGACTAGTTCTACATTTATAAAAGTTAATCCCTATGGGAATGACACCAGTGCATGTGTTCGCCTGGTAATTTGATTCTTTAAGGGTCCATAGCATTGCTTTAAATTTCTTCAGTTATTAATTCATTTTAGAAAGGCTCTGGAACTATCATAACTTTGATGAGCTTGGCCTGAATTAAGGGTCAAAATGTCTTGGGGGGGGATGCAATAAAGTTTGGGGAAAGTTCTGGAAATCATTTGGCTCTTGGTGCAATGGACCCTGTCTTTTGTTGTGGCCCTTTAAGGTAGTAACATGTCATTCATTTTTCCCTAATACCTTGAGAAACAAAAATAATCATAAACTGTATGAAATACATTTATTTCTTGTACATAAATTCAGTATTATTCTGACAGTGGAGTTTGTCACCAACTACAACTGATGCAAGATGGTCAAAGTTATAAAGAATCAAGTGATTTTAAAATCCATTAACGTTGATCAGATTGGCTCAATTAAAAAATAAATAAATACATATTCAAATTTTGCTTCGAAATTCCAGAATACAATTGATGCATTATTTTATCTCTTGTAAAACATTAAAATGTACCGGTACATCGTGATTGGAATACCAGAATGAAAAAGAAGTATAAGAGTAAACAGAAAACTGACATCATTTCTGTGATAAATGAATTTATTATTGAGCCGTATTCTTCATAAAGGCATTGAGGTCAGATCATGTGTAGTGCTTGAAGTAAAATTGATCAATGTTCTACACAACAGCAGATTAAAATCGTTCTGATGCTCTTGCAGCCACGGCTCTCATATTACCATATACTTTAGACGGGGGACTTCCCAATATGAGGTTACATATAGCAGTTCTTGCCATTCGTATATTACTATATGAACCTAATATGTGCACTTTACAATCTGCTAAAACAATCCTTGTTTTGGTGACGTTCTCAATGGTAAATTTAGTTTTTCCTCCATTTCCAGCAATTCTTCCTATAGCTCTAGATAAATGATCACCTTTCAATGGTTTCACTGAAAAAAAAAAACGTATGCATATCACTTGACAACATTGAACTCATTTTAAATCTAATCCTTTACTAATCCTAACTTTTTCTGTAACGTATTTTAAAGTGTCTATTTGCCTCCAAAAGTTGAGCCGATAAGAAAGTTCTATACTCCCCTTGACTTTATACCTTGGCTCTTACCAGTTGGAAACAAGCAGCCTATCGGCTGAGATAGCTCCGCTTTTAGCAATGCACATTTCAATTAAAGAACTGAACACATCATTAGAAAATGAACAATATGAAAAGTATCAAAGCAATCGGACTTACAGTTTTTAACAAGTCGAAAATATCACTTTTTACCAAAAATTACAAAAATGATCACCAAAATTAGAGAATTTAAGATATCATCACGAAATGAACAAATCTGAGAAAGGTCTACATGTAGTATCTATATATGTAATATCAAAGCAATTGAACTACTGTGGAATACTTTATTTTCGCTGGAATTAATTTTCGCTAAAAAGGCTTTTTGGGCGTTTTGCTTGGAATTTATTTTCACTGATTTGTGACAAGCTTAATGTGAAATATACGAAAAAAGCATATTCGCTGGATTTTATTTTCACGGAATCATCCATTCAGCGAAAATAAATTCCAAGCGAAAATAAAGTATTCTACAGTATTGGTTTTTAACAAGAAGTCGAAAATATCACTTTTTACCAAAAATTACAAAAATATTCACCAAAATTAGAGAATTGAAGATATCATCACAAAATGTACAAATCTGAGACAGGTTCACATGTAGTATCTATATATGTAATATCAAAGCAATCGGACTTGCGGTTTTTAACAAGAAGTCGAAAATATCACTTTTACCAAAAATGACAAAAATATTCACCAAAATTAGTGAATTGAAGATATCAACATGAAATGAACAAACCTAAGAGAGGTTTACCCAAGGTACATATACACCAAGTATCAAAGCATTCAGGCTTGCAGTTTTCAAGAAGAAGTTGAAAAAGTAAAACAATGACACGGATGACGGACAATCACTCATATGATAAGCTCCGCTCGACAAAGTCGACAGCGGAGCTAAAAATAGTATAATAATTCATTCATTGATGCTGAACATACCCCATACTTTTTCTATTCTAATTGCATCTCCAATAAAATGTGCATATAAAACCAAAATTGCATTTGTTGTACACCAAATATTACTGATGTAACCATAGAAACACCTCAGATGTAATTTACTAATGTAATGTACTACAAAGTAACTATGGTGACAGAAGACAATGAAGGGATAAGACTATGGTGACAGAAGACAATGAAGGGATGTCTCTATGGTAACAGAAGACAATGAAGGGATGAGACTGGTGACAGAAAACAAAGAAGGGATGAGACTATGGTGACAGAAGACAATGAAGGGATGAGACTATGGTGT